GAGTGGAGACAAGGACCTGAACCAACTAATTTAGCAATTAAAGAGCCTCGAGGAAGTGAGAGGCTTTTTTAGCAGTGCAGTCTACTCTGCTTCTAATATACCAAATTACAGTATGGACTTCCTCTGCAAAGATTTGTCAGGTAAAAGGTTCAAGCCGGTAACTTAATCAAGATGTGAAAATCATTCCTCACAGTGACCTCCTCAGAATAAATCTCCCCTCTCAAGGTCACACTGTACATCATCCGCAGCCTTGTGAGATTGAGGAACAGATTATCCAAGTCAGAAATGTTGACAGATTATGTCTTGAACTGCTCTATTCACTTCCACTGATCTAGGAGCAGGATCTCAGAGGGAGAAACTAGGCAGGGAAGGGCACCAGAAGATCTGCTTCTGCACTGGCAGTCATTATCTTGGTCCCTTAAGAGAAGTACGGACTGCCAGAAGCCATTATATCATGTAAGTTTTTTGAATCTTCTGGAGAAAAGCACAACTAAATCTGTATGACTAGCAAGACTATCCAAGGAGAGGCCTGCAAATGTTGGCATCCAAGTAAATTATCTGTACCAGGTTTTTCAATAGTCATATTGTGAGCAACATACAGTAACTCCTCACTTACCGTTGTAGTTGTCCTGAAAAATGCGACTTTAAGCGAAATGATGTTAAGCGAATCCAATTTCCCCATAAGAATTAATGTAAATGAGGGGGTTAGGTTCCAGGGAATTTTTTTCACCAGACAAAAGACTACACACACACACACACACACACTATAAGTTTTAAACAAACAATTTAATACTGGTACACAGTGATGATGATTGTGAAGCTTGGTTGAGGTGGAGGAGTCAGAGGGTGGGATAGTTCCCAGGGAATGCCTTACTGAGCAATTGGCTGAGCCCTCAAGGGGGCTCTGACACTTTACAAGGGACTCTGACACTAACTCTGACATTCTACAAGGCAGCAAGGATGGAGGGAGGGGAGAGAGAGATATGTGCATTTCCTTTTTAAGTACACTGCCTTATTAATTAGATCAGCTTGCTGAGACCGCAGCTGCTGCCAGCAAAGCCCTGTCCTGTGTCCCCCCTGCTCTATGGAAGACGGGTTAAGTGGGGTGCAGGAGTGGGGGGGCACCCTGACATTAGCCTCCCCCTTCCTTCCTCCCCCCCACACAGCAAGCAGGTGTCTCGGGGAGCAGCTCCAAGGCAGAGGGCAGGAGCAGCACATGGCAGTGGCGGGAGGGACACAGCTGAACTGCAGGCAGCTGCTGCACAGGGAACTTAGGGGAGCGGGGAGCTGATGGGGGCTGCCAGTCCACCCTGGTTCAAGCTCCCACCAGCTAGCTGCAACGGGCTGCTCTTCCTGCAAGCAGTGGACAAAGCAGGAGGCTGCCAAACGATGACGTTAGAAGGGAGCATTGCACAACTTTAAACAAGCATGTTCCCTAATTGATCAGCAACAACGAAACAACGTTAACCGGGACGACTTTAAGTGAGAAGTTACTGTATTAGGCAACTTCAAGAAATTGAATTACAGTAACTCCTCACTTAAAATCGTCCCGGTTAATGGTGTTGGGCTGTTACGTTGCTGATCGATTAGGGAACATGCTAGTTTAAAGTTGTGCAATGCTCCCTTCTAACATCGTTTGGCAGCCGTCTGCCAAAACGTTTGGCAGCCGTCTGCTTTGTCCACTGCTTGCAGGAAGAGCATCCCGTTGCAGCTAGCTGGTGGGGGCTTGGAACCAGGGTGGACCGGCAGCCCCCCTATCAGCTCTGCCTATCAGCTCCCTGCTCCCCTAAGTTCCCTGTGCAGCAGCTGCCCAGCAGGCTAGCAATTGCAGATGTCCCTCCCCCCACTGCCATGTGCTGCTCCTGCCCTCTGCCTTGGAGCTGCTCCCCGGGACTCCTGCTTGCTGTGTGGGGGAGAGGGGAAAAAGAGGGTGGCTAATATCAGGGTGTCCCTTTCCCCCTGCTCCTGCACCCCGCTTACCCCATCTTCCATAGAGCAGAGGGGACACACGACAGGGCTCAGGACAAAGGGAGCTTGCTGGTAGCAGCAGCTGCGGTCTCAGCAAGCTGATCTAATTAACAAGGCAGTGTACTTAAAGGAGAAACGCGCATCTCTCTCTCACACACACACACACACACACACACACCTCTCCCCTCCCTCCATTCCTGCTGTCTTGTAGACAGAGAGTTAACCCTTGAGGGCTCAGCCAATTGCTAGTTCATCATTTAGCAGTAAGGCATTCCCTGGAAAATATCCCACCCTCTGACTCCTCCACCAAGCTTCACAGTCATCATCACTGTGTACCAGTATTAAATTGTTTGTTTAAACGTGTGTGTAAAAAAACTCCCTGGACCCTAACCCCCTCATTTACATTAATTCTTATGGGGAAATTGGATTCACTTAACATCTTTTCGCTTAAAGTCGCATTTTTCAGGAACATAACTACAACGTTAAGTGAGAAGTTACTGTATTTTGTGCTCCTTAAAAGCATTTCCTTCAAAGGGCCTACCTGCAGGACAAACAAAACAGACAAGCAGTAGGGTTTTGGGGAAGAAATAGGACCAAGGAAAATCAGGTATAGATAAAAGGATGCTGAGCAAGATAAGGAGCCACCTGTGTGAAAGTCAGCCATTACCTTCACTAGTATGTCCCTGACACTAAACTAAGCTCATCAGAAAAGGCTGTGGAAGCTTGTAAAGAAGATATGTGTGACTGTCTATATCTTTATGTTCACCTCTTCTACAAGACTATGATAAATTTGGAACAATGTATGCCTTGTGAGGTATCATCTGAAAACTCATAATTTGCTGATTTTTGTCCTGGTAAAATCTGAGTGGCAACATTGAATGTAAAATTATAAGATTCTACTGTAGGATATTAGAGACATGTTCCAAGTCTGCAAAAACAGCCACACCTCAGTCAGGGGTCAACAAGATAAAATGGACTATCATTTGGTCAAGTGGCCATTCTTTGGCAGGAAAAAGGGTGTGAGCGAGAAATTTACATCTTGGCAAAGAAACTGCTGGAGGTTCCCACCTCCACAGACTGTCTCCTGAACCTCAGCTGGAGATGATTTTCAAAGAAAAAGAACTATAAGACAGGGGAACAGACACCCCAAAAATACTTGTCCCTCTCTTTCTGCCCACAGCATCACTACCACCTGAATGACAAGAAAAGTAACAGTGAACTGGAGGAGGGGTCCTACTCATAAGGAATCCAACTCATAAGATTGCTGAAAAGTGGTGAGAGAAACCTTTTGAATTTATTTAGCTTGTTAAATTAGGTATTAGCTGTGTTTTACCTTTTATTTCTTTGTAACGAATTCTGACTTTTATGCCTCGTTACTTGTAATCACTTAAAATCTATCTTTCTGTAGTTAATAAACTTGTTTTATCTAAACCAGTGTGCATTTAGATCAGGGGTAGGCAACCTATGGCACGTGTGCCGAAGGCGGCACGCGAGCTGATTTTCAGTGGCACTCACACTGCCCGGGTCCTGGCCACTGGTTCGGGAGGCTCTGCATTTTAATTTAATTTTAAATGAAGCTTCTTAAACATTTTAAAAACCTTATTTACTTTACATACAACAATGGTTTAGTTATATATTATAGACTTATAGAAAGAGACCTTCTAAAAACGTTAAAATGTATTACTGGCACGTGAAAGCTTAAATCAGAGTGAATAAATGAAGACTCGGCACATCACTTCTGAAAGGTTGACGACCCCTGATTTAGATTGAAGTGTGGAGGAAGCTTCATTTGGGATAACAGGATTTGTGTAGACCGTTTTCTACTAAAGAAATGACGGACTTTATATAAGCTTGTATTGTCCAGGAGGGTGCTGGGCAGTACAAGATGCACATTTCTGGGGGAAAATCTGGGGCTGCGAATTTGCGGGTGTTGCTCTGCAGTGTAATTCAGGAGTGTCTGGCCATAGCACTCATACTGTATAGCTGGGAGTAATTTACATGGTGGGGGCTATGCGACAGCAGACCAGAAGTGGTTGCTCTCACAGCAAAGCAGTGAGAAAGGCACCCCAGGTTGGAGAATTGAGGGGACACAGATGTTTAGCAGTGGAGATTGTACCCTAGGTAATGTCACAATAGGTACCAAAAAAACCCAGTTCAACCAGCAAGAACACTATCTCACCCCCTGCAGAACACAAGATTTTGAGCACATTCATCTGGCCAGCCACTTTCATATCACAGCTTTCATCTCCTCTCCCCACCCCCCGTTTCTTAGATACAGGGAGGGACACTTACACCCACCGTCCTGGCTGGCACAAAAGGATGTTGGAAAAACAGTTAAGTTTAAACAAGAGAAGATAAAATTTTAAGAGTTTGAAAAACCTAAATCCTCACTTTATATATATTGAAATAGTTTCTGTATTTTCAGTCCTACTCTACTCTCTGAAAGCTCATGCTCCAAAATATCAGTAGAGTGACAATCTCCTCAGAAATACCACTCTGGTTATTTATAGTTATAAATATATCCCCACCTATTTCTCAAAGCTACTTCAAAAATTAAGTCTCACATAAATACACACACATTTCTGAAACTATCAGAACCAATTTTTTTTAACATAATATAAAATTTAAGTTCCAAAAAATGGATCTAGGAACATAAATAGTCAATCTGATTTTCAAAAGTGCAGAATACCCAGAGGCTCCCATTCAAGTTAATGAGAGCTACTGGGTGCTTAGCACTTTTCAATTTCAAGTTACTTAGGTCCTAAATATGAGCCTAGGAACCTAATTTTAGGTTTCTATATAGAAAAGATTGGCCCTGAAATAATCTTAGTAATTTTCTTTTAACAAAAATCTTTCATATCATATAGAGTCAGCCCAACATTTATCTCCTGCCTCATTCCCCAAAATCTGTTTCCTTAATCAATCAATTCCACATTTGAAAGTCAGGGAATAAAACATGAATGCAGGACTAAAACCCTTCACATGTATAAGCTTCTGAATCTAGCCCCTACAATGAAGAATACAAAAGATACCTCTTGTCCAGTAAGAAAGAGTAGAAGATCTCCTTCCTCTTCTTCACACATGTGAATCTGTATTACTGTTCGAATAGCCGCCTCAAGGTAATCCCTCTCTGGCTCTGGAGTATAGAAAATCTCCACAGGATGGGTACGACCAGGGATAGTTAGGAGAGGACAATTATCAAAATAAATCTGGAACTTGCCAGCATCTAGAGTAGCACTCATAACTATAACCTGTAAGTTAGAGGGAAAACAGAATTACTCCAAAGTTAACATCAAGAACCTACAGAATTTTATACTTAATACATAGATAGTGAGAAACTAAACTTAAAATGTATGATTTAAGTATCAAATTTAAGATTTCATTCCAAATTTCCTTGCTTTAGGGGTCCACTCAACCCATAAGCATTTGTTTGAAAAGTTCTCTTTTGTTTAATATGTTGAAAGAAAGGTTAGGAAAACAGTTTTATAACAAACTGCTTTTATATTTACATGGCTTCCACTAAAGTAAATAGAAAACATATGTATCAGAAGGTAAATATGACCCTTATTAGCAAATCTATTAGTAAGCATAGTGAAATCCATACTCAGAATTTCTTTAATACTTCTGTGCTTCCTGAGTATGTACAGGCTTCTACAAAGCATAATTGCTACTGACCTTCAAGTCAGATCTTTGCCTTACAACCTCTTTCAGAACTCCCATCAAAATATCAGTAGCCAATGTTCTTTCATGGGCCTCATCAAGAATTATAACACCATAGCGCTCCAGCAAAGGGTCATTCATAGCTTCACGAAGTAACATACCGTCAGTCATATACCTGAAGACAAACAATATTTTAAATTTTCCAAATTAATATTGAAGTATCACCTGTGTAGAAACTTCCATAATTCCTTCTCACTCACTACAGTTTCTATTTTACCCATCCCTCCCGCAAACAGCACCACCCAGGCTAAATGCTTACAAGAAGGTGCGATTAAAAAAGAAGGCCGTGAGGCCCAGGGTCACGTTTTTAATCAAGAGAACTGGGTACAACAAGAGCTAAAGCTCAAGGGGTTGTAGTTTGATAAAGATTTCTATTTTTTTTTTAAAGCACAATTTTGCATACTATTATCCTATGCATCCACTTGATTTTATTACTTTTACCCTCATCTTCCACACCCCATTCCCTCCTATTGTTTGCTGCAACTCACTTGTATGTAATCTTAGATTAAATATTCTTTGGGGCAATGACTATCTTCCTAAAGCATACAGTTCAAGAGAAAACTTAGTGTTTAGGACCGTAAATGTTACCCGAATATGAATAAAAACAATGAGGAGTCTTTGTGGCACCTTAGAGCAGGGGTGGGCAAACTATGGACCACGGGCCACATCCGGCCCGCGGGACCGTCCTGCCCAGCCCGAGCTCCTGGCCAGGTAGGCTAGCCCCCGGCGCTCCCCCACCCCCCGCTGTTCCCCCCTTCCCCGCAGAGCCACACCGCTGTGCGGCCAGCATTCTGGGCAGCGGAGCTGCACGCTCCTGCCAAGCAGAGCGGTAGCATGTCTGGCTCTGGCCGGCACAGCAGACAGACATGCTGCTCTGCATGGTGAATGGGCCGGGGGGTTGTATAAGGGGCGGGGGGCCCCGGGCGGCAGTCAGGGGACAGGGAGCAGTTGGATGGGGTGGAAGTTGAGGGTGGGGTCAGGGGGTGGGGAACAGGGGTGGTTGGATAGGCGTGGGGTCCCAGAGGGCCTGTCAGGGGTGTGGATAGGGGTCAGGAGACGGGGACCGGGGCAGTTGGATAGGCGTGGCAGTCAGGGGACTGGGAGCAGGGGGGTTGGATAGAGGGTGGGGTCCCAGGGGGCGGTTAGGGGCAGGGGGTCCCGGGAGGGGGCAGTTAGGGGACAAGGAGCAGGGGGGGTTGGATAGGTCGGGGGTTCTGAGGGGGGCAGTCAGGGGGCGGGGGCCAGGCTGTTTGGGGAGGCACAGCCTTCCCTACCCGACCCTCCATCCAGTTTTGCAACCCCAATGTGGCCCTCGGGCCAAAATGTTTGCCCACCCCTGCCTTAGAGACTAATAAATTTATTTGGGCATATGCTTTCGTGGGCTAAAACCCACTTCATCAGATGCATAGAGTGAAAAATACAGTAGGCAGGTATATATATTACAGAACATGAAAAGATGGGAGTTGCCTTACCAAGTGGGGGGGGGGTCAGTGCTAACGAGACTAATTCAGACAGGGCGGATGTAGCCCATTCTTGACAAGGGGTGAACATTAGAGGGAAAATTACTTTTTGTAGTGACCCAGCCACTCCCAGTCTTTATTCAGGCCTAATTTAATGGTGTCAAGTTTGCAAACTAATTCCAGTTCTGCAGTTTCTCGTTGAAGTCTGTTTTTCAATTTTTTTTCTATCTGGCTCAATGAATTTTTATACAAAATGGAACAGCTCCAACAGGAGAAAGAGAGAGAAAAAGACTGGGTCTATAGCCTGATTAAGGCACACCCCTGGAATGTGGAAGACCTGGGTTCAAGTCCCTCTCTGCCTGGTCTCCCACATTCTAGGTGGCTATTCTTTGGTAGGAAGCTCTCTCGTGAAAATTTTTGACATTTGCTTTGATACACATTGGAATCACACTATTCATATCTGGAAATACTCTGGGTTGTTTTGGTAATGAACTACCTGAATGTGCTATGAAACTCACGCAAAGATAATAAGTGGGCCTCGTCCAGTGTTTTACATACCTGCTCAAGCTAACAATTCTGGATTTCATATATTTTCTCATGATGTCTTAGTCACAGGTGCATTTTGAAATATATAGATTGGTTTCTCCTTATTCAAGTAAGCTGAATCTTGCCGCAATTAACGGACAGAACTGCTCAGATGGTCAGCTTTTATTTCCTTACAACACCAGTCTACTTCCTTGACTGACCAACTGATTGCTGCACATGCTCATGGTGAGCCAGGGAGCAGAACCGATGAGGGACTTGTAGGAGATGGTTGGTTAGCAAGCATATCCATGAGTCCAGGGGGAGGGACTCCAAACTGCACAGGAGGACTAGGTGAGGGAAAACCCAGTGTGTGTCTGTTTAAGTACACCAGCACTTTTGGGGCTCCACTACTGCAACCTCAGTGCACCACGGAGGCCATGTAGCAGTGTAGAAGAAGTCCTCGATGCACCAATGTCTCAGTACAGGCATCCCACTTTATCACCCTGCTCCCCTTTATATGATCACTCATTCCCCTCAACTCCAAAGTTGCAGCTCTACAAGATGTGCATACAGAAACCGAGGAGAGGAGAAAGGAGTTAGGGATATAGAAGAGGGTTTTATGGGCATAATGTCTTGGCTGGAAAACTAAGCAGGGACTGGGACTGTTCCTGTGACCCACAGTAGGAAAACAACCCAGAGTTTGTACTGGGAGGGCCTGGACTGGGAAAGTAGCTCCAGACAGCACCTGTTCTAATGAACCTCACGCGATTCATTAGTATACAATTAATCTCCAGGATACAATAGGATTTTTGAAAGACAAATTACTTTCACATTTCACTTCTCCCCCACCAGATCTGTAGGTCCCCCAGAGCTTAAGCCCCACGTTTCCCCTACTCCTTGTGGGCACAGCCCTCTGTCCCCACAGATTTTCCCCATTCTCCTCTCTCACAACCTTGCTACCTCCATACTCCCAACCAAAACCTTTGGCCCTGCACAAGCCTGCTACCCAAAATAGGCAATTGTCCACTTTTTGTTGACTATTACAATACTTACTTCAGAATTGTTTTTGCACTACTGCAGTCTTCAAATCGAATAGAGTAACCAACTTCCTGGCCCAACATCACATCCATTTCATCAGCAACTCGTTGTGCCACACTCATTGCAGCTACTCTCCTAGGCTGGGTACAAGCTACACCTCTCTTAGGTCCAGGTAAAGACCGCATGTAGTCAACACACCACTGAGGGATCTGTCAAGGACAAATTTGCAATTTAAATACACTTTAAATGCCCAGTCAGATACAACACAATTTATTCTGTAGTTGTTGAGCAGGTGATATCTAAAGATAAAAGTCCTGTTTTACAGCCTATAACTTCAATTAGAAACTGACGGCAAGATTTTTGTAGGAGTCAGATGGCTTATTGGTATTTAAAATTAAAAAAAAAAAATTCCACTTATCCTTCTCATAATTTGCATTTCCTGAATCCATTTACCAATAACTTGGATCAAATATAGATGCGAGGCTGACAAATGAATGAGAAGTACACTTAATTCAAAATGAAGATGAAATATTTCACACTTAAGTAGTACTAGTTTTCACAAAACCTGCCATTTTTCAAATTAGTGAGAAAATGTATTGGTTGGCAGTACATTTAAGCAACTGTCAGATGACCTCAGTTTAGAAGTGCTGACGCTCCACTGGCATCTAAGAAAAGTAAACGCTCATGAAGTTTCATGAAGCCTTAATGTATACATTTTAGGGCATGTCTATACTGCAGTTAGCTGGGTATCAGCATTCAGGTTAGTCAGCTCTACCTGTGTTACTGTGTCCTTGCTATTTCTGCCCAAACTCACCCAGATGTCTTTGGGGCCATATCCCATGATTCTGTGTGCTGAGACACTAAGATTCTTCTTCAGTCAATTATGAGAAAACTTGTCAGACCTTGCGGGGTAACTTTAGAAAAGGACTGGAGGACTGAGTCTTGCCTGTGTCCTCACTGAAAAGAGGGTGGGTTCAGCAAGAGATAAAGCACAGCTCAGGCCTTAAAACAAACCCTCAGCCTGCAAGCAAGCATGGATGCAAAATACAGGTAAGCACCTGCTTGAGTGCTGTGTATGTGAATGGCAAGGTGGTTTGGGCACACACACATGTAGAAGCATGGGCTAAGGCCACATGGTAGACATACCCTTGAAGATTGTTATAAAATTGTTTAAATATGTTATAAAGCACACTTTAAACTTAAATATTTATTACAGATGCAGTTCCTTGAAAAAAATACCCAAGTGTTAAAAATTTGGCTGAATCAGAAAATATCTTAAAATATCACAGTGAGAAGTAAAAAGAACAAAGTGTGGAATCTCCATTTGGTTAGAGTTCCTAAAGAAACAGGAAGAGAATCTAACTTTTACCAAACAGATATGAATTTCCAGTATTACCAATGGAATCAGAATGTGTTTATTTTGTTTGCCTAACAAGCAATTTACTGATCCAATGACGGGAGATTTAGTCCCACACCCCCCTCATTTACAGTCTGTATTAAACTTTATTCTTAATACAGAAAGAAAAATCTGTACCTCTGATAATCTGATATGCAGAAGATAGTGAATGAAATATACTTGGATTACACTCTTAATTTGATGAGAGGTTCAGTAAATCACATTATCTGAAGACATCTCCAGGGATAACCAGTCATGGGTCTAGAGGTCAAGCAGAACTCCCATAACATTAATGTCCATGTAACCAGGCCCCTAGTAATTTCCTTTCAGAATACTCCTAGATTAAGAGCTAAAACAAAGTGCAAAAAGAGAAAGATACAAACAAAACTACAGAATCCCACTAAACACAGAGGATGAATGACTTAATACATGTAAGTTTCTCTTAATAGAAGAAAGTATTTTTTCTTCAAAAATGTTATTCTATAGACTGCTACTGGAAGAAACTGAACAGGCCCAAGATCCCAAATGCAACAGAAAAATCCACAAGCTGCAACAGGAGGCAAACACAAAGACATACCGAAAAAGCAACATGTTTTTAGTCAGGGCTTTGGAGCGGAGCCCGGAGCACAGCTCCAAAGCCCTGTTTAGGATTAAGGTACCCTTCTTATAAATATGAAAAATACAAGAGGTCTAGAGTACCTACTAAAAATTGTCAAAAGAGGGATAACAGACATCTGAACAGAAAAGAACCCTAAGGAGCAGAAAAGTTTGGACAAGATAGGCAAAAGAATAGGTTCTGTACCATAGGAATCTGAGTGCAGATTATCTGAGTAGAAACATGCACACAAGTGCTTCACAAATGTGAAGAGGAGAAATGAAGTCACTTTGCAGGACACCAGTAAAAATGCAAGTCTGAGGCTAGTTGCTGAAGCATCGCCTCTACAAACAGAATAAGTCTCGACGTGACCTTAAAACACCAGGCTTGCCAGACTACAACAGTGAGAAATATAATTAGACAGCCATTTAGAAATGGTTTTCTTGATAACAGAATCTAGTATAATGGTGTTAAATGAAAAAAGCTGGGTGGACTTTAAGGGCTTTAATCTGATTCACATAAAAACCAAAAGATCTCTTTACATCAAGTTTACAAAGAAAGACCTCACCAGGACCAGCATGCAAGCACACAGAAAGATGACTGTTTCACAATAAAGTGGAACTCGGTCATCATCCCTGGTAGGAATTTAAAATAAATCTATAGCATCACACGGTCCTTATAAAACTTAGCATCATGTGGATTGGTAAGAATCTGAAGCCACTGCACGAGCCAAAATTACTGCCACCAGGAAAATGGACTTTCCTTGTAAGAAAGCTATTTCACAGATATCAAATGGATCAGGAAGAGCTTTCATTAGCTTTGTGAGTCCCTTGACACAGAGGGGCTTTCTAATGAAGGGTAGAGATTTTCAAACACAAAAACCACTACATGAACCTGGTGACAAGGGGCTGCTGAGAGAATAGTCTACGTTGGATACATTTGTGACAGGCCAAAATAATAACCAAATGAACATTCAGTAGAGTTCTTAAAAACAGATTAAGTCAAATGAATAATGTAATCAAGCCAAGAGTTCCTTTTCGTCGTCGTCGTTAGTTTTTTTGGCGCGGAGTAGGGAAAAGAACACGGGTACTGTTTAAAGGATTTAAATGAGATTCTTTAACTACTTAAAAACCTTCACTGCTTAAAAGTTTACAGGGTGAAATCCTGCCCCATGGAAGTCAGTGGCAAAACTACGGTTGATGTTAATGGAACCAGGTTTTCACCTGTAATTCTTTTCTTGTGGATTGTTGACACACGTGCTCAGAAACCCCATGCATTCGGCCTCAATTCTCAAACTATGCGCAGGGTAGCGGCATCACTGGGTGTATGTTGAACAGTATTCTGTTCTGTGTGATGAGACTCCTAGTGGGAGCAGCTACTATCTCTATGGGTCAGTCACTAGGAAAATTTAAGAGCATTATGGAAGTGCCAATTACAGTTCCACAGTTAAGGTGGACTTGAGTTTTGCACTTTCAGCAAGGATTCAATCACTTATTGACAGAGGTGTCAATAAGCATATTTTGTTTAATAAACTTTAAGAGAGCAAGGGAAGGGAGTTCTGAATATTAATGTGCACCTTCTATTGTGACTATACTGACAACAGTACCTGTGTGCTTTAATCGTAGCTGCTGCCATTGCAGCCTTAAGGGGGTTCTCTCCCCAAACCGGTGGAACGCCTGAGCCAGATAAGGAGGAGAAAGAAGAGAACTTGGGATGACATTTTCAATGAGATCCTGCAAGCCAGTGATATACCAAGACTGCGAGCAAAGGGCCTGGAAGGTGAATACTGCAGATAGATTGGAGAAGGAAAGAGCGGAGAGGAGAAGAATTCACAAATCCTAGCAGGAAAAGGAGTTCCAGTATATAATGGGGCTTCTCCGGCAGCAAACAGATGCTGCAGACTCTTGTGGATCTACAGGTTCAACGATCCTGGGCTCGCCTTTCATTGCAGTCAATGGAGAACTCCATTACAGTGCCTCCCTACATCTCCCCCTCAACATTCCACATGGCTTCAAGAGCCGCATCCCTAGCCCTACCACTCCTCTCTGGGGGACATTAAGGACAATCACACTTCACATACACCTCTGAATGCCATAGTTGCTGTTTGTGTAGGTAAAATGGACATATATGTTCTTTCCCCTTGTTAAGTTCTGTTCCATTAAATTAAGTTAAATGTAGTTGCTTTTAAATTGCACAGGTTTTTCTTTGCACTAGTTTTGTTACTGAATAAAATTATATTGTTTGGAAAAGAATTAACCTTTATTAGTTCACAACATATGCTGCAGAGTGCCTAGCAGTTCCGAAAGTACCCACTTGTTACTGTACATACAGTGACCCACAACTCAGAGGATCAGTGAAAAATAGTAATCAAATGTACACCAAGCACTGTAAAATTAACAGGTGCACTGACAGTGTTGTATTCATAGGTGTACACCAAAGCACCAAAACAACAGGGCCAGGTAAAGCATAGTTCACCACAATACATTACTGTGGCTCACTGTTAAAGTGCTCTTTTCAAAGCCTCTGAGCTGCATAGCTCGACATTGAGCTCTTCTAATAATCGTTGTGTCTGGCTGTTCAAATTCAGCAGACAGGCACTCCTCCTCCACCATGGCAGCAACTTTTCCCCCTTTGCTTCACAGATACTATCCAAGAAAGAGCAGGCAGCTATAACCACTGAAATCCAATCTTGTGAGTAAACAACGCCAGCATCCCTTAAATCTACCAAAAGCACATTCAACTGTAATTCTGTACCTGCTGAGCTGGTAGCTGAATCTTTCCTTGGTGCAGCTGCGGTGGCTGGTGTATAGCTTCATGAGCCGGGGAGCAAGGGGTAGGCTAGGTCCCCCAGGATCACTATTGAGATTTCAACATTTTCAATCATAATCCGCTAGTCAGGAAAGAAAGTCCTTGCCTGTATCTTTCTGAACAATCCTCTGTTTTTAAAGATGCGAGCATCATGCTGCACCTTGCCTGACCAGCCAACACTGATGTCGGTGAAGTGGCCCCAGTGATCCATCAATGCTTGCATAACCATAGCCCTCTCTAATGGTGTACTCTGTGGTAAGGTGGTCTGGTACCAAAATAGGGATGTGTGTGCTGCCTGTTACTCCACTGCAGTTCAGGAACCCCATTGCTGCAAATCCATCCACTGTGTCGTGCACACTGCCAGGAATCACAGTCCAGCATAGATTCTAGGACTGGAAGGGACCTCGAGAGGTCATCGAGTCCAGTCCCCTGCCCGCATGGCATAGCAGGAGACAATTAACAGCCGTACACGCTTGCATGACAAAAACCCCTGCAGTGGATTTTCCAACTCCAAAATGATTTCCCACTGACCAATAATCACCCAGTGTTGCAAGTTTCCACAGTGCAACTGCCACTCTCTTATCCACGGTCAGTGCAGCTCTCACTTCGTTATCCTAGCACTGCAAGGCTAGGGCGAGCTCAGCACACATATCTAGGAATGTGGTCTTGAGCAATGGTTGTAAAATTTTTGGATGTGCATCATCCCAAACCTGCATTACCATGTAATCCCATCAGCGTTCATTTCTCAAGCCCAGAAGCAGCACATCATCTGCAACTGCTCTGTGAACACCACTGTCAACCTTGAATTGGTTCTTGCTATGTACAAAACCAATCTGTCCTCCGAGAAATCATCACGTTCCCTGTTGATTCAGTTCTTCTGTGGCCCAGCAAATATCGGAAAATTATCTGTTCTGTGCTTGCAATGCTTATGACAACAGAACAGAGCTGTACAAGCTCCATGCTTCCAGATGGTAGAGAGCAAGGATGGCCGAGCAGGTTCATGGGATTTTTTAAAAAGGCACAAATATTATGGGATACAGACGACATTATGGGTTGGAAACAATTTAACACTGGGAAGTTGATCTCTTACACCCATTCATGCCTGTGTGACTAATTTCCGCCCCATTATGCATTGTCAAAACTTACGCTGGAGAGTGGCAGGTTGCATAGTGGGATACCTACCTATGGTGCTCTGCACTGTCCATTGACATAAGCACTTCTGGTGAGTACACACAGCGCCGATGCAAGAAGACAAGCATGCATGCACACAAGTGATATACTACCCATAGCAGCTTTATGCCAATTTAACTTGTGTTGACCAAAATTTGTAGTTTAGACATGGTCTAAGACTTAGGCTACTAAGTCCCTCAGTCAGTTCTGAAAATTTTACCCCACGTGACCTACTTTGTAACCAAGAATACTGGAGGTTTAAGCCATTCATATGAAGGATACAAGCCACCTTATACCACTGCAGATGAATTCTCGGAGGCTGCAGTTAGTATCCTTGATGGACTTCTATATATTCAAGTGACTGATTTCTTTAATGGACTTTTGAGAACACGTTTCTTTTCCAAAGGACTTGTATATTCAGAGTTGCCTTAGACAACCCATTGCACAACGTGCTGACTTCAGCTGAAGTACATAAAAAAAAACAACAACAACAAAAAAAAACCACTATGTAATACCACAGAGGTATGTTACCATGCCTTCTTCCACTGACAAACAATTGGTTCCAGAAACCTGCAGTGAGAGGGACATCTTGTACCTATGTCCTCAACATTTTCCAGACTTTCAAACTTTATTTTTGACTAAAATCTATACAAATTTATACTAAAATCTGCTACAAATTCATTACTACCTGTTTAAAATCTTTTTTTTAGTCTTTATGAATCCATCTGCCTATACAGGGAGATTTAGGCATGCAATTTAATAAAGGACTTTTCCACATGAGCCCTCTGAGGAGAAACCAGGAACTATATAAAAGTGTTTGTACCCATACCCAAACTAGCAATTTTCTGATCCCTTAACAGATCCACTTCTATGTGCCACTCCCAATGTCTTGCTTATTTTGTAAGTCCCCAAATCTCTGGTGGGTTAGCAGGGGGCCTTTAGATCTAAATATCACATTGTTCAACGCACCAATAGCTTTGGAAAGCTATATATTCAGTACAAATCTAACCCAGGGAGATTTCCTCCTAGGATACAGAAGGGCATCCCACTGTCCTCTGAAGGAGCCAGCAACCTACAGAAGTAGTATAACAACAAGAAGCACCACCAGTTAAAGAGAAAATATATAATGTTGTTCTCTTTGGACCAGAGTATGGAAGATTTGAGCTTCAGTTTCTTTGATGAGCATAGCCCAGGGGCAGCAGCAGTCAGGAAATGAGTTCTAATTCTGGCCCTAACACAGACTAGCTGTGAAGTCATGGGTAAATCACCTAACCTCTGCAGCACTGTTTCACTATCATTAAAGTGTGAATTTCTCTCCTTCATAAGTGTTGACATTAAATGTATCTTTTAGAGTACAAAGTGATATTCAAGTACTATTGAGATATTAGATTTTTGTATGTCAATTTTCTGATTAAATTCAACTCAAGATCACTCAGTGCCATAAAAACAGCAGTACACACATTTTTCAGAAATGCTTTTCCTTTAGTTTTCACCCATTAGCTGGACTAGGATCTTAAAATTAAAATTATAATGTGTAAAATAGAGATCAATGTTTTAGGCATTAAGCAACTGAAAAGTTCATTAAACAAGTATTGCTCAAGAGGGTAAGACTTGTGATGTGTCACTAAGACATTGAAATAAAATTAACACAATACTAAACAATTTATCATAGTAATCCAAAAAAAAAAAAAAGGATATAAACACTCCATCCTGTAACAAAATCTTAAAACTTTAAGCAAGAAGCATCAAGTGAATAAGAACTCACCTGTGTCGTTTTACCAGACCCGGTCTCTCCAACCAGTACAAAAGACTGGTTCCTAATCAGGATATCTGTAAATCTTTCCTTATACTCCCAGACAGGGAGCTGAAGCCGCTTCTTTAGGATTTCATAGTATCGAGGTGTATGTGGTAGGTTTGTGAATGGATTAATACCCTGTGGAAGTATTGCTGGTTTTAAAGGTGGTAATCCACCACCAACAAGAAGCATAGAATTAGATGAAGGACGCAAATCTTTTTCCTTGTCTCTCTCTCTGTCACGATCTCTCTCTCTGTCACGATCTCTCTCTCTGTCTTTAGAACGATCTTCACGATCCCGGTCACGATCTCGATCCTTCCTAAAAGGATTTCCAGAACACAGCAAAAATACAGAATGTTGAAGTAAATATTTAAAGACAGAATATCTCCTATGAATGAAGTATTAAGAAAACTAGATAAAAATGAAGAGTTTAGGTTCTTTTCTTTACACTGAGTAGTTTTAAAAATAAGAAATAGGAGCTAATCTAAAACAAAAGAAATTATTAAACTAATGTTTCACTGTGAAATACATTATGCAGCTCATGCAAACTGAATGCACAGTAAATATTTTAAACAGTTTTGCAAGCAGTTTCACTTAAGTGTACTGCAGAGAAGGAAAAATATCACTGTTTACTTGCTTGTGTCATTACAAAGACCAAATTTCATGTTTGAGGCATATGCTATATTAGTTATGCAAAAATTACAAAAACACTCACTGCTCATGAGTGCTGGAGATAATACACACATACAGATACATACACCTACACGCACACAAAAAACAAACTTTATAAATAGACATAATTAAGCTTCCTAGTAATAATGGTAGAGAAACCAGAGTAAAAGCATTTGTTTTTTAAAGGCAGAGAAACTGGGGTACAAAATGCACTATGGCATATCAAATTTGGGGCCTAAACCGTATGATAAATTCCCTTTAAATTAAGAGGGAACTGCAAGTTAAAATTAATCCCAATCAGGCTGGAGGGAATATTCAGATCAAATATATGGAGTAAACTCAATCTGCCTTTTAGTTTCACAAGTCGCCTTCAAGTGGGTATCAAGTTTAATTTGGCCTCAGGTTTAGATTTCACAAGAACAAGGACTATAGACCAATAAAAATGTTTCTCACAATTCCCCTACCCAATTCACCAGAAACAGTTTTTTTGTGGAAGGAACATGGTCAATTTAAAATATAGTCCTTCTGGGGGGAAAAAAATGTATGAAAGGTAGTTTCATATACTACACCTGGCCTTGAATCACACTGGTAACTTTTGTGATTTTACAATCCCATTTCCTTTTTAAGTTTTTTTTCTCCCCGTTACCCCGTGAGAAACCCTCACAAACAAAAGGGGAAATGGACTATACAGTGGAAATGGAGAAACTGACTATCCACAAAGAGCTGTCAAACAAAACAAAAAAAATTGGAAAAGTTCGCATCTTTCAGTGACAAACACCATTTAGGATTACTGTAACAGGTGAAAATTTTCAGCCAGAAGTGTGATTTAATTTGACAGTATCCCTTTAAACTAAAAAACTTCCCCGGGACGTTTGCAACCAAACCTTTTCCAGGATTGTGTTAGTGACACTCAAATGTTGAAATAGAGGAGAAACTAACTAAACACAAGTAAAACAAAGGCCCCAAACTTGAAGAAAAAAAAAAAAAAGTATGCTCATGCTTAACTTTATGCACTGAGAATCATCACACTGAAGTCAATGGGGCTACTCACAGTGCATAAAGTTAAGCACGCGTGATAGTATCTGAAGGACTGGGACCCAAGCATGTTTCCACTGTCAAAGATGAGAACAAAAATAAACTGGGAAAAGCAAGATTGTTGAAAAAGATAATACCGAACTACCAAGAGGGCATTTGTAACATAGGTTAAGAAATTTAGTGATTTTCCACATATGTACCCCTTCCCTTTAAAAATCTCTGACCCATATTTTCAATAGCAACCACTAGTTTTGTGAGCCGATCTTTTAAATACCTAATATCTGATTTTCAGGCCTGCACTACAGTACAAGGTTATGTTGGCACAGCTATGGTGGTTAGGAGTGGGGAGAGGGAAATCACACCCCCTAGCCAACATAACCCTCAGTGTATATGAAACTATGCCAACAAAAGAGTGCTTCTGCTGGTTTAGCTAACATCTGTTTGGTGAGGTGTTACTATGCCAGCAAGAGAATTCTGTCTGCCTGTATACACTGCATCTACACTAGGTGACTATGCTGGCATAGCTATGCTAACATAAGTCCTGTAGCATAGACATAAAATCAAAGTTACACAGCACTGACTCGATTAATTTCAGTTGAAGTTGCGGGTGTTCAACACTTTTTAAAATTAAGCCTTAGATCTAAAGCTGAGCACCTAAAACCGGAGGATACTTTTGAAAATCTGGCCCTCTGAAACAAGTCAACTGTAGTTGGATGTAGTATACGTGACATTCTTGTTCCTGGAAAGGATTTACCAGTAAACTGAAGTTTAGTACCTCAAGGTAACAGCATTGTCTCTTGCTGCAAAAGAGATAATTTAGCCTATCCATTTGGTCATAAGAGTTGTAAATAAGGTATTTATAAAATTAACACATTTTAAATAGGAATTGTGTCTTACAATTTTTTTTTTTAAACGTACAAGTACCCCAACTTTTTCTACAGAATTTCTAGTATGCTGTTGATACAAATCAAACTGCCTCAAAACAGTTCTGTGGTCAGGTACAGCAACTATAGATAAACAAATGTTATACTTACATATGTAAAAAATTAAAGAACAATTAGTGACCTTTTGGCTTGCAAGCTGAGGATTCCCTCAACTTCATATCCTTTGAATTTCAATTCACAAACTTCAAATGGCACAACAACAAAAATCCTAATAATCTCACCTAAAAGTAAATGGCCAACTGATCTCTTTAGGAACTCTTCTTATTCTCCCTCTCCATTTTGGGGGCAACAGAAACTCTTCCTATTGAGCACCAGGCTGCCTCATACTATTCAGGGAAATAACAAGAATGGGCACAGTTCCTGAAGAGAGCTCATGGCCAATTACTGCCCCCCACAGCATCTCATATGCATCCTAGGCTGCTACTGGCCATGCCTCCTTTTAATACACAAAGTAATGAATAGGCCTGGGAGCTTCTACCTACAAAAAAATGAAGTTGCAACCAGCTAAAGTCAGCACATAGTAGTTTTGTATTTTACAAATTCTAAGCCCAAGATTGTTTTAAGAAGTGGCTGAGTAACCTTGCTCTTATGAGAAAAGGCCCATAACAACTCTAATTTACCATATCTAGATCCTCAATTGATTGTATGGCTCTAGAGGTGACCAGAAAGAATTACTGACACCATTAATATGTTATTTATCTTTTAAAAAGACCTAAAATCTACAATATTTTGTGTCACTGTTACCCTCACTCTCCCTCTGGTTTCAAAAATTTGTTCCATTTTATCCTAATTCACGCACTAATCCTGCAATGAGCTTTACAGTCCAAGGCCCTGATGCATCATCTTAAACTGTCTGAGCCAGCACCTGTCTCATGCTATCTGTTTGAACACCATCACAATGAGGGTCTGATGTGACTGAAGCCCCTGTGCACTAATGTAATATGAATAATAAATATAGCAAGTGCTTAAAACTTAATTTTTAAATGAAAGCTTACATTTTGCTGAAATTGATGTCTTCTTATGCCCTCACACTAGCCAGGAAAAGTATCCTTAGTTACAACTGGAAAGAGATTTGTTTTCAGGCTTTACAGCAATGTATTCAGTTGTGGGGGAGAAGTCTATTGGGATGCTGCAGAAGTAGTTTAGACTTTTAAAAACAGTTAATGATCTGTCTAGAATAGCGTGTTTAATGAGATTTGCGTATACTAAACTCTGAAAATGTTTCTATTAGTAGTGAGGTCAGAACCTATACAAACGGACAGAGAGATTGAGAAAATGCATAGAAAAATGTCAATTTGGAAAAATGCAAACTACACCTGGCAAAAAATAGATATTTGATTGGAGGGAGAGTCTGGAAGCAGAAGGAGGCCCCGTGACAATGAGAAGCTTTTCACACCTTTTGTTTGAAAAATAAGCCTAACACTATGATCAGACTGTTATGAATGAGACCACCCACACCAGCATTAGATAGGGTAATAACTTTTTTCTAAATAAGGACTATGAACCCTCATGCTTCAAGGCATATACCAGTTACCAACTGACATTTATTAGGACAAAATTCTCCCTAAAAGGAAAACTATTCCGTAAGTGTCTACTTTGGCATTTCTTGCATCTTTCTCTGAAGCTTCCATTATAACCACTTTCACAGAGGAGATACTGGATTAGATGGTGATTTGATCCAGTATGGCGATTCCTATTAGTCCTCCATCATTTTCAATTAGTCCATTTAACTGTTACTGTTGCCCACACACAACCAAGAAAAATCTATAGAATACTATTTTAAATTTCAGAATTCAAATGCTTCAACCAAAAGGTAAACTAATTTAAGGACACTCCGTATACTTTTGTTGTTGGTTAACATCCATCCACCCCATCAATTTTCAGTCTAAGTTAAAAACAAAAATAAATTATATGTAATTAAATTCACTCCTGCATCTCCTACCATCTCTTCCAATGTTTGTGATTTTACAATTACTTTTTTTTTTTTTTTTTTTTGGGTAATGCTTTCCCCTCTTCTGTTCACCTGTGGAAAATCTCACACAAAGAGGAATGATTGATCACACAGGGGAAACAGTGAAACTGACTAGACACAAAATGCTGAAAGATGCACAGAACACCAACAAAGGAATATCTTTGTCGTACCCCTCCCCCCGCCACCTTTGGTTTCGTTAATCATAGCTGTTACTCGTAAACAGCAGTTTGCAAAGCTGCAGACAGAAGTTGCCGAGATCACTCTACATTACTGAGGGAAGATGATCAGCCTAAGGCCGAAAACTATGATCTGGTTCAGGCCATGTCGGAGCGCTGGGGACACGAGTTTAGAAATGCCGATCCCCGCTCAGCGCTGCGCGGGGACCCGGGTTCACGGGACTATCTCATCGAGCGATATGGGGTTGCGGCGGTAACTCAATGACCCGAGGAACCGGGTAACGGGAGAACGGATGGGGTCACCGTTTGCACGGATACAGGAACCTTTCTGCTGCAAATCGGAGCCCGCCCCGGCCAGGACTTGGGATTCCTACAAGGAAAGGCGCAGGGGCCGGCTCCCGGCCGCTCCCACCCAGCTCGCCCGGCGCCCCCGCCGTGTCCCCTGCCCCGCACTGGGGCTTCCGACTCTTGGAGGAGATGGACGGAGCCCTCTCTAGACTCAGGGAAACCACCGGGCTCTTGAGCCGCCCCACCCCCCGAAACGGGCCGAGGAGACGCGCCCACCCCAGGGATTCGCCATGCGGCTTGTGTGCCGAGCCCAGGCGGCTCCTAGCCCCGCCGATTCCCGCCCCCCGGCCAGACCCAAGACGGCAGGGCGCGAGTCTGGCGCCGAGGGTACAAAGCGGATTAGGGGGGATCCGCTCCAAGAGCGAAAGTGACCGGCCCCCGCCCGCAGGCCGCGCGGCCAGGCCCCGGCGTCCCTCACCCGTCAGCCATGGCGCGCTTCTTGCTGGAGGTGTAGTCATCCCCCAAGTCTAGGCGATGGCGCTTGGACATCGTGCCAGCGGCAGCAGGGGGCCTTCAAGCGGGGACGTGGACGGCGGCTCCGCGCTCTCCGCTCCTCGGGCAGCAGCAGCGGCGGCAGCGCCGCGAGGCCAGGAACAGCAACTAAAATGGCGGCCGGAAGGAAGCTCCGCTCCGCGCGAGACACTGAACGAGCGGCTTCGAAGAGGGGGAAGCGGTGCAACCTCTCTGTTTCCGGCTGGGAACCTTACCCCCGCGCGTCCGGGTCCGGCCCGCGGGTCGCTCTTCGGGACCCCCATTGCCACCCACGGAGCGGAGTGGGGGCCACAGCGTGGGGCGGTGCGAGCGGGGAAAGGGGTGAGGCCGGAGTGCTCTGCCATGGCGCACACATGCAGCAAAAGCCAGTGCTGGGCAAGCGGGCCTGCCAGGGGTGGTGTGCACGGGACAGCCTGGAACTATGGGTACTGCCCCATGGCCCAAAGCAGGACCACCTCCCCACGCCCAGCCCCCAGGGACACGGTACCCTGACTAGGGACCAGAGTGTGACTGTGGCTACAGCTGGTAGTGCCCTCCTGCAGCGTTTCCAGGAGCAGCCTGCTTATAACAGCACATGGCCCAGATCCACAACTGGGCCTGGGAAACATCTCACCGGCCCCAGCCCTTCAGCACCAATAGGCAACGCTTTCCCACAATGACTGTGTTGTGCCAGTGTCATCACTTTTCTGACATGACCTTGTGACTTGCTATGATGGCTGACAGCCTTGCTCCACAAACAAAGACCCAATCCTACAGACTTGTTACATATGTCCATCATAACTTTACACATCATGGGACCTATTTAAATCTTTGTAAGATTGGGGCCATAGCTGCCCACCCATTAGTAGCACCAGCTCAGAGCAACTCAAGCCCCACTATAGGTCTGCACACACAGCTCTTTCATGCTAGGCATTTCAGCTGATGTCAATGAGAGCAGGAAAGACTTGAGAAGGCATCATAGTAGAAAGTATCTCCTATGATGGTAGATATGCAGGTGACTGAGCCTCTGATAGTGTAGCTGATGTGATTACCAACGTGATATATGCCATCATGTGCCAGCAATGCCCCTCTGCCATGTACATTGGCCAAACCGGACAGTCTCTATGTAAAAGAATAAATGGACACAAATCAGACATCAAGAATTATAACATTCAAAAACCAGTTGGAGAACAGTTCAGTCTCCCTGGCCACTCGATTACAGACCTAAAAGTCGCAATATTACAACAAAAAAACTTCAAAAACAGACTGCAACAAGAGACTGCTGAATTGGAATTAATTGGACACCATTAAATTAGGCTTGAATAAAGACTGGGAGTGGATGGGCCATTACACAAAGTAAACTATTTCCCCATGCTTTCCCTCCTCCCCCCCTCCTCCCCCCCACTTCCTCATATCTTCTTGTCAATTGCTGGAAATGGGCCATTTTTATTACCACTACAACCAGTTCTTTTTTTCTCTCCTGCTGATAATAGCTCACCTTAACTGATCACTGTCCTTATAGTGTGTATGGTAACACCCATTGTTTCATGTTTTCTGTGTATATATATATCTTCCTACTGTATTTTCCACTGCATGCATCTGATGAAGTGGGCTGTAGCCCACGAAAGCTTATGCTCAAATAAATTTGTTAGTCTCTAAGGTGCCACAAGTACTCCTGTTCTTTTTGCAAATACAGACTAACACGGCTGCAACTCTGAAACCTATCTCTACTGAGACATCCCAGAAATTAGGATCATAAAACAAAGAAAACGAGGAGTCTGATGAAGTGGGTTCTAGCCCACGAAAGCTTATGCCCAAATAAATTTGTTAGGCTCTAAGGTGCCATAAGGACTCCTTGGTTTTTTTGCTGATACAGACTAACGCGGCTACCACTGAAACCTGTCACCATAAAACAAAGAGAACCCCTTCAGGAATGATGGTGGTGTGGGAAAGGAACTAACTGGTATTCAAGAGATCTGAATTCAATTCCTGCTTCTGCCACTTTTTCCTACTCGCTGTCTTGTCTCATCTATTTAGGGCTTGTCTACATAAGCAAGTAATATCTATATAAGCTATAGTTTGAATTTAAACCTGTATAGTTATACAGGTGTAACTCCCCATGTGGACACTCATAATATAAGTCTGTTTGTTTTGTTTAAGCTAAACAAAAAAAGCCATCTTATTTCCAGAATAAGAATGTCCAAAGAGGGAGTTATACCAATATAATTTTTATTTGGATCTACCAACTGCTTTAAATTTGGGGACTCTAGATTTTGAGCTTTGTAGTGGCCAATCAGGAGTCAGCATCCAGGCAATACTTCAAATTTATACACAACTTTGGGGTATCTATTTCAGGGGTCATGGCAGTGTAGCCTTATATTGGCATGGTTCTATTCCAAATTTTGACCTGCTAAAGGCCATTTTGGCATTATCATTATTTGTTTATATTTTGGTAGCACTTTGATACCCCAACCCCATTGTGCTGTGCACTATATAAACAAATAACAAAGATACAGTCCCATCCCAAAGAGTTTCCCAGCTAAGACCTTGATTTTGCAAACACATATGCATCTGCAAGTACTCCCTTGATTTCAAATGGACTACTCATGGTGGTAAAGCTGAGCACATGCATTAGAGTTTCCAGGATCAATGCCTAAATATAAGGTGAAAGATAACAGGTAGCTAGAGCAAACAGATGGGGGTGCACAAAGGTAACAATGAGACAAAACTGACCAATGAGATAAGCATCTTGCCACAAGCCTGAGGGATGCAATACAGTAGAACCTCAGAGTTATGAAAACCAGAATTACAAACTGACTAGTCAACCACACACCTCATTTGGAACCGAAACTTAAGTATGCAATCAGGCAACAGCAGACACACACACACACACACACACACACACACACAAAAAGCAAATACAATGCAATATTGTATTAAACGTAACCTACTAAAAATAAAAGGGAAAGCACCATTTTTCTTCTGCATAGTAAAGTTTCAAGGCTGTATTAAGTCAATGTTCAGTTGTAAACTTTTGAAAGAACCAAAACGTTTTGTTCGGAGTAGGGCCATACCAAATTCACAGTCCATTTTGGTCAATTTCACGGTCATAGGATTTTTAGAATCATAAATTTCATGATTTCAGCTATTAAAATCTGAAATTTCACGGTATTGGAATTGTAGGGGTCCTGACCCAAAAAGGAGTTGTGGGGGTGAGGGGTTCACAAGTTTATTTTAGGGGGGGTTGCAGTACTGCTACCCTTACTTCTGTGTTGCTGCTGGCGGTGGCGCTGCCTTCAGAGCTGGGCAGCTAGAGAGCAGCGACTTCTGGCCAGGAGACCAGTTCTGAAGGCAGAGCCGCTGCCAGCAGCAGTGCAGAAGAAAAGTGGCATGGCATGGTATTGCCACCCTTTCTTCTGCACTGCTGTTTGGAGAGCTGGGCCGCCCAGCTCTGAAGACAGCGCAGAAGTAAGGGTGACAATACCAGTACCCCCCTAAAATAACCTTGCGAGGCCCCTGCAACTCCCTTTTGGGTCAGGATCCCTCAATTTGAGAAACACTGGTCTCCCACCATGAAATCTGTATAATAAGGGTAAAAGTACTCAAAAGACTAGATTTCATGGGGGAGACATGTTCTTCATGGCTGTGAATTTGGTAGGGCCCTAGTTCAGAGTTACGAACATTTCAGAGTTACGAACAACCTCCATTCCCGAGGTGTTCATAACTCTGAGGGCACGTCTTCACTACCCGCCGGATCGGCGGGTAGCAATCGATCTATTGGGGATCGACTTATCGCGTCTAGTGAAGATGTGATAAAATCGATCCCTGATCGCTCTGCCGTCGACTCCGGAAATCCACCGCGGCAAGAGGCGGCAGCAGAGTTGACGGCGGCGCGGCAGCGGTCGACTTGCCGCCGTCCTCACAGCCAGGTAAGTCGACCTAAAATACGCAACTTCAGCTACACTATTCACGTAGCTGAAGTTGCGTATCTTAGGTCGACCCCCTGCTGTAGTGTAGACCTAGCCTTAGATTCTACTGTACATATGCACATAATGGAACAGAGAGTCACTCATCTTTCAAAAGTAAGTTGTTAGTTGGGAAAGTATTTTTTTTAATTTCTTCCATGTGCATCTGTATTAATAAAAACCCTAGATTAATGAAACTGAAGGAATATTTATGATTTGTTTCCCTATTTATTCTTTATACTTTCCATTTCTCATTCTAGATAACAAAGATTTACTAGCCAGTTTCATATTCCTTTTAGTAAACTCTTAGCCAGTTTCATTTTCACTTTTTTCACTTTTTATATTAATGTAATACTATTTTGTTTGGGTTGCAAAGGAGTGTTTAAATGCAAACCAAACACTAATTTGATTTAAATTATTTCTCTAAATTTACTACATGTTTATAATTGTATTAGGTTTACACACACAAAAAAAATCCCTAAACATTGGGCCTAAACTATCTATTACTTTAATGCAGAGGTGCAGCCCGCAGAGACGTACAACTCCTGCAATACAAAGATATGTTATGGCTGGTTGAACCAAGGTAGAACAGAGATCCCCTCTCCATTGTAGAACTCCTTTGCCACCCCTACTCTGCCAATATTGGATACAAATGTATTTTTATTTTCTATTTGCTTATTAAAAACAATAAAAATCCTGAGTGTACATTTGCATTACTAAAGCCCACAGTTTTGTTTTTTAAAGTTGGGCCATCTAAAATTGGCTGCAACAAGAATACTCCCTGTATTAATCACTATTATTTGCTGTGATAAAACCATAGACACATGAACAATCCTAAACACAACATCCATCACAGCTAATCTGTCTCGGAGAACAGCCTAAGTGAATAGGTGGACTTCACGCCACACCCAAAAGGTAAACTTAGGCTATGTCTACACTGGTAATTGAACAACAAAACTTTTCAGAGGTAGGGTGACCAGATGTCCTGATTTTATAGGGACAGTCCTGATATTTGGGGCTTTTTTTTTTAATATGGGCTCCTATTACCCCCCACCCCCATTCCGATTTTTTACATTTGCTATCTGGTCACCCTATTCAGAGGTGCACCAGGAAGCAAATAGGAGGCCAGTGTGGTTTTAAAAGTAGTGATGTGATGTGCTCCATACATACAACTTT